GTTTTCATATAATAATAAAAGAAGACCTCAATATGCCATTGAATAGTATTCAGGTCTATCTCGCTACAAAATGAAGGTAGATACCGTTTAATCAGCTTGAGATGTGAGTAAGTGGGAAGCCTACCTATCTTGCTATGAGTATAACCCCACAATTATTTCACTAACCACCTAAAAGGACTTAGAATGAAAAAATTTCTATTTAGTCAGCACTGTCTCTACGAGGGATAAGTGGATTTCGATTAAATTGTTGTGAATAACTTTATTTCGTATGAAAGTACCTGATGAAAGAATTCTTAGATCCATTCCACCAGAAGACGACGGTTGATTCCAGTCGATATTCAGGCGCATGGCTTTGATACCACTTTCGGGTTTACTCATTCTATAAGATATCCTCTTTCGTTCCGAGTAAAACCCGACAAAGTTTCCGTCTGTCATGTGACGGATCTCATCAGAAATCATTTTTGTAAAGGCTTCAAATAAACGCAAACGACTACAGTACGACTGGAATCAACCATCATTCACTATTTTGATCGCTCAGCAAATCCCTTCATTGTGTGCTTCCATTCGAAATGAAAGCCTCCACAACAAAACCTACTGATAGATGTGAAACAAACTTATTCCAAATAAGACCACTTTACGTCCATCCGCATCTAAGAGCCGCTTGATCTATGGCTTCTGCGTTTGAAATTACGGTGTCCTTACATACAGTCCTAAAGAAGATGTCATTCACATTATTTTTAGCCAATTTCAATATTAGGAAAGAGGAGCCAAGACGAGTAAAAAGCACATAATTCCGTTCTTTGATGTAAATAACCAATCATTTATTTGCACTTTGCTGTCAACTTTAATGATCCTGATTGAATAACCCTTGGCTCACTTGAGGAGGGGTAAAGACTAATCATGGAATTTTCCAAAATGAAACGAATAAACCTCACAATTCCATTGGCTCGCAACAGGGACATAAGGCTTTGCGAAGCAAACTCACGTGAAATTCATTAGTATCTTGAGTCCTGCCCACTTCATTTTGGGCAAATTAAGATATCGGTACTTACCATATTCACTTAATTATTCAAGTTCTACTGATATTCTCTTAACTATCTCACCAAACCAGGTCTTTTCTGTTTATCCAGCCGGCCAGAAACCATGATACCGGAGAGATTGCTCCCGATATGGACAAAATAGGCTCATTCACTGATGATCCCTTCAGACCGATTGTCGGCGGCCCTTCAAAACGCGGCGGAATAGTCGACCTGAGCAGAATAAGTGTACTGTATGCTGGCGGACATCCAATGCTGCCGTTATTGGTGGAACACGACAAGCCTCTGTTCGTTGCTACCAATGCCACTCTTTCGGGCTGCATACAAAACCTTCACATAAACGGACGCCTGTTGGATCCTCGAAGAACAGCTCTACTCGGCAGTGCCATTGATGGATACGGAATCGGTAAGGCGGATTGGTACGGTTTGATATAATTATCAAAAATCTGATTGTCCAAAGGTCACATCGTTTGTAGCATAGTGGTGCAGATAGATCCGATAAATCAGTTTATCATGACTTGAATAGACTGTCTACTTTTGAAGTTATGAAGACCAAGATGGTGTGGCCCTCGGTATAGTCGCAATCTCCTTTCGATCTATAATAGTGGGTTGACCTCGTTTTCGCAACTTGGTCATGTTACCAAGGGGACTTAGCTGGACGCCCCTTGTCCGAAGTCCTCTGCCATAGTAGTTATTATAATACACAACATCAGACCATGGACTTGGTACATTTTCAGATGTTTCGCAGGCACCGTAGTTGACATCAGCAGTGAGCCTTGCCATTCTCAGCACCAAGAATTGTCCTCCTTGTCTTGATGCTGAGAATGACAAGACTCACGGATGATGCCGAATACGATGCATTTGCAACATCTGAGAAGGTACCAAGTCCACAGTATGACGTTGGGAATTTACATTTACAGAGAAGTTCGGACAAATTGCACCCAACTAAGTCGCCCTGACAACAAGATCAAATTGTGAAAACGAGGTCAACCCATTTCTGTCTAATTTTGCTTTTAAGGTACAGGTGACAGGCAGCAAACGGGAAATCTATCAGATTTCTTTTGCATTTCATAGATAGCAAACAGAGATATTAGTGGTAATCAGTACAACATTAGGCAATGATTAAAAATTAAGGCAAAATTGGCTTTTCGATTAACCATCTAATATTTATTTCGTCTTTAAAACAGTTTTTGAGTCTACCAGCTTGGAT